CATTCCCAGCAACAGCCAATCACAGGAAGGTATTTGCTAGAAGTCCGTCTCCTTACTGACGTCTTCAGGAGCGACACACAGATCTAATGGGCGCATCCGATCCCACGATCGTCGTCGCCCCTAAATCAACACAACAACACACAGATCTAACTTATGGCTTTCTGTTTCATCTCTTGTATATAAAAAAATATGAATATTTCGATTACTATGAATATTAAAAGTATGAGATTAAGTTGTTACACAAAATAGCTAAAGTTTGCCATATAAAAGAGATCATAGTGGATTTTGTAATAGTTTCATGGAAAGCGTGTTATACAATTTTTCTAAATATCTTCTGATATGGGTGTTGACTTCTATTTGTGTACCTAATACTTGAAGGCTTCTTTTTACACATTCACAAGGGAGACATCTCCCGTCACGCAGGGTGCATTCGCACCTCCACAGATCTCCAATATCAGCTCTTGATACTGGTTATTGCTGCCTACAGAGTAGGCAAAAAGAATCCATCAGGTCAAAACCAACGGAAAATTCGCCTGAAGCTGTCTTCCCAGTTCACGAAATCCAATCTAGTCCGGACAGCTGTAACCCAACGGAAGGGATTATACATCAACGAGTGCTTGACTAGGAACAGACAGCACCTCCTCTACCGCCTGCGTCAAATCCGTCAAAAAAACCCAGATGCGATTCATCAGTGCTTCGTTAGAGATGGACTGATAAAGGTGAGAAAAACCGCAGAGGGCAAAATGTTCACAATTACTAAAGAAGAGAACCTCAACGCTTTCCTCTCCCAGTGTGGTCTGTCTCAGCTCATTATCACTCCCAGTGAATTAACTTAATTAACCCCCTGTCAACTAGTGGGGCTAGGTTTCCTAAGTCTCATTGTTTCATTTTCTGACTTAATTTTTAACTTACTCTTAACTAGTCATTTACTGAAATTATTTAATTGAGTGCATAAATAGTTCTTCAGGTCTTATTAATTATACAGTCATAACTGAACTATTTATAGTTAATAATCCTTAGCTTAAATTTGCCTATGCTTATTATTCAACTTTTCTTTGATTCCATTTATTACCTAGGTTGCCTAGCCTCGCCATGCTCCCTTACTCCATTGTACCCCTGGCTTTGCCTGCATCTCAAATTGCAAATTGTTACTTACAGTGTACCTGAGAGTACTTGTAAGCAATCTACCTCATTTTTCATTTTTGCTCAATTTGTTTTTGTATTGCTTAGTCTTGTTTATATTTTTGTTTTGTATTTCTATATCTTGTGTTTTGTATAGTCGATGTTTATATGTTCTTTCGTTAATCTCATTTATTACCTAGGTTGCCTAGCCTAGCCATACTCCCTTACTCCATTGTACCCCTGTAAGCCCCTTTTGTGTTTGCTTTGTACTGTATGGTGTACATTTTTTCCCCTATTTTATAGCTTATTTCTACCTTGTTATTTGCCTTTCTTCCCTTGTTTTTCCTGCAATCAGCTTTTTTTTTATGCAGACAAGTATAGACCCTGAACTTAACCTCTTATCCACTATCTATGACAATTATCACTTTAATGATCTAAATTGCAGATATTTTGCAGCACATGATGTAAACAATGTATTAACTCATAATCACAATATCTCTGTAATCAATTTGAACGTTAGATCCCTAGGTAAACACTTTGATGATGTTAGTGCCTTGATTGAAGCTATTAACAACAAATTCTCTTTTATTATACTTACTGAAACATGGTTGAAAGAGGATACTACTCAGCTCTTTAACATGCCTAACTACTCAGCAATTCACAACTGTCGTCAACTTCAGAGAGGTGGTGGCACTGCTCTTTACTACCACCAAGAACTAACATGCTTAAAAGAAATTAGAACCAGAGACTGCTATGGGGAGTATATCTTCGCCAGCTTCAGAGTCAAGGGTGCCGAGTCTGTCCTGACTGTGGGTGCAGTTTATAGAATTCCTAACACTGATGTGTCTGAATTCAACTCAAACCTTAGAAATCTAATACTTGATAACAGACTGAACAAAAACCACCTAATTATCGCAGGGGACTTTAATATTGACCTCTGCGAGCCTGAACACCCCACTGCTGCTAGCTTCCTCAACTGTATGAATTCCTGCTTCCTCATACCCTTAATCACTAGACCTACTAGAATCACTGATAGCACTGCCACGACGCTAGATCACATCTGGACAAACATAACCTCTCCGCTTACTTCAGGTATAATCACCGATAGCACTACAGATCATTACCCCACATTTCTCTTAACTAACATTAGCAAACCACCTCTTGAGTCAAGAGTGATACGTTTTAGACTTCACAATGAAACTGCTTTAGACAATTTTATAACTGCTGCTGATAATGTCAACTGGGAGTCCGAGTTAGGTAACATAGTGGACATCAACCTAGCAGTGCAATCTTTTCTTCAAAAAACTCTTAGCCTTTATAATACCCACTGTCCTATGCTTACAAAACAAGTCACAACCAAAAGGCTTAACAATCCCTGGCTTACAAAGGGAATACTTAAATCTATTAATAAAAAACATGACCTTGAGAAGAAGTATAGGTTAGGAATTGTCTCCAAAGAATTCTCAAAGAATTACTCATTATTGCTGTCTAAGATAATTAGACGAGCCAAAACTAAATACTACGAAGATAAATTTACCCAAATAAAGAGCAACATTAAACAAACTTGGAGAACAATTTCTCAAATATTGGGATCAAAGAAGTCTTTAAATAACAAACCGACTCTCCTGTCTAATAACGATGGTCAGCTTTCAGCCTCTGATTCTGCTATTGAGTTCAATAGGTTCTTCTCTTCCATTGGTTCATCCCTTGCAAATGATATTCCATCTTCCAGTACAGACATTAAGGACTATCTTTCAGGTAACTATCCACAGTCTCTGTACCTAAAGCCTATTAATTCCACTGACGTCAATGAGATAATCCTTTCCCTTAAAACCAAGTCTGGTGCCCTTGAGGAGATACCAACTTTAATTTACAAAAAAGCCTCCAGATCTTTAGCCCCTGCTATTGCTTTGCTCTTCAACAAGTCACTTGAACTCCAAACCTTCCCAGATATTCTAAAAAAAGCGAGAGTAACGCCTGTCCACAAATGTGGTAATCTCACAGATGTTAACAACTACAGACCTATATCTATCCTGCCAAACTTGTCAAAAAATTTTGAAAAACTAATCTATAAGCAGCTTTACTCATATCTAGCCAAACTCAATATACTTAGCCCTTGCCAATATGGCTTCAGACCCAAAAAAAGCACTAACGATGCACTTATTAGTATGCTTAACTCGATTCATACAGCTCTTGATAAAAATGAGTTCCCTGTTGGGTTGTTTGTGGACCTGCGTAAAGCTTTTGATACTGTCAACCACCAAAACCTTCTTCTTAAATTACATCATTATGGAGTCAGAGGACACTCCCTACAATACCTCAAATCCTACCTTACTGACAGGCTCCAATATGTTTCTGTGAATAATACAATTTCTCCCACCCTACCCATCAACATTGGTGTTCCCCAGGGCAGCATACTTGGCCCTCTCCTCTTTCTCATCTACATTAATGACCTTCCAAATGCCTCACAACACCTCAAACCAATTCTATTTGCTGACGACACAACCTTCATTTACTCCAGTCCTGATCCCCTTGCTCTAAATGCCACAGTAAATACTGAGCTAAATAAAGTCCATCTGTGGCTAACTGCCAACAAACTCACCCTTAACATTGACAAAACCTTCTATATTCTGTTTGGCAATAAATCCTCTAATCAAATAAATCTCAAAATAAACAATACCCAAATTTGTAACAAATTAGATGGCAAATTCCTTGGCATTCTCATTGACCACAAGCTGAATTTCCAGGGACACATACTAAACATATCAAAAAAAGTTTCAAAAACTGTGGGCATTCTTTCTAAGATCAGATATTATGTACCACGCCCTGCCCTGGTGACTCTCTATTACTCCCTTATCTATCCATATCTCAACTATGGTATTTGTGCTTGGGGCTCTACTACCCAAAATCACTTACGTCCTCTAATTACTCAACACAAAGCTGCTATTAGGACAATATCCAATTCTGGCCCCAGACATCACTCGGTACCCCTACTCAAATCTCTGAATATGTTAGACATTAAGTCACTGCACATTCTCTCATGTGTAGTATACATATATAAAACGCTAAACTATAATGCCAATCCTGATCTCAAAAGCTTCATAGAAGGTTGTAACAGAACCCATGAGCATCACACCAGAAATAAATACAGTTTTGATATTCCTAGAGTACGTCTTAATCAAACTAGAAATGCTCTACAAATCAAGGGGCCCAGAATGTGGAATGACCTTCCCAACCATGTTAAAGACTGTACCTCTCTCAACCAGTTTAAGTTAAAAGCGAAGCTATACCTAATAAATTCCCTGTAACCTACCTTACCCTTCTATTGTCAACCAATGTCTGTTTTTTTCTTTAAAGAGCGCTGTTTGTCGACATAATTGTATTTGTGCTGCTTTTTCATCTATGTTTTCATTTCTTGTTTTCATTCTACTCATTATGCTCAATTAGTATTAAGCTTGTCATTTAAGTTTATCATGCCCGAAACGCTTTGCGTAATAGTGGCTTTAGGCATTGTATGTACTAGCTCTACCTATAAGTCAACCAATCCTTGTAAAAATTTATTGTATGTATGTACCTTACCTAAATAAAATTGTATTGTATTGTATTGTAATATATATATATATATATATATATATATATATATATATATATATATATATATATATATATATATATATATATATATATATATATATAATATGTGTGTGTGCAGAAATAATATTAATAAAACAATTAACATCGTGTAGTGCACACTATATATCAAAATATATTACTTTGAAACCCATATCATTCACTAAAAAAGATTGGGCTACTCTTATTACAAATCCGCTACTTTTAGCCCGTCAGCTCGCTACTTTCTACAATTTAGATCTGGCATCCCTGTGCTGGGTGGCCTCAGTGTTGTAGTAATGGCGGCGGTGCGCAGGGCCTCGTCCGCCCTCACTACTACACTTCTTAAGCTCAACCGGCTACACGTCACATCTGGTCAGACGTTCACGCCTCCTCTGGCAGCCGTAACGACCACCAGTTGTTTCAAGTAAGAAACGACTCGTTCTCACTGTCTAATCACCTGCTGAAGGGGTTACTGGCATGAACCTGGTTTATTTATCTCTTTACTAACATGATTTTAGGTCTATCCTCTTTACTAACAATATTTTAGGTCTATCCTCTTTACTAACAATATTTTAGGTCTATATATATATATATATATATATATATATATATATATATATATATATATATATATATATATATATATATATATATATATATATATATATATATATATATATATATATATATATATATATATATATATATATATATATATATATATATATATATATATATATATATATATATATATATATAATATATATATTATATAATATATATATTATATAATATATATATATTATATAATATATATATTATATAATATATATATTATATAATATATATATTATATAATATATATATTATATAATATATATATTATATAATATATATATTATATAATATATATATTATATAATATATATATTATATAATATATATATTATATAATATATATATTATATAATATATATATTATATAATATATATATTATATAATATATATATTATATAATATATATATTATATATATATTATATATATATATATATATATATATATATATATATATATATATATATATATATATATATATATATATATATATATATATATATATATATATATATATATATATCATCTCATTGTCCCATTGTACAGGATATGGTTTGTCAATGAATTTTAAAACCTAAAGTTACCGAATATTAATCTAACCATACCTAATCCTTCCTATTGCAGCCTAACAAAATATATATGTAAATGTGTAAATATAAATATATAATTGAAAAAGAGTATAAAGAAGGGGGGGGGAAATAAATAAGTTTTAAGAATACTAGATACAACTAAAATAAGTTTACATTCAGGAAAATATTGGTTGGGAAAGAGAGTTGTTGATTTATGAAGTTAAAATACAGGGCAGCATAAGGTATTGGATCACTCAATTATTTAAAGGTCAAGTTAGACATACTGTATACAGTATCTGAAAGTTTGGGTGGATATAAATAGGAGCTGCCTCATATGGGTCAATAAGCCTTCTACAGTTTCATTTATTCTTAAAAAAAAAAAAAAGAGCTACTGTGTGTTTAAAATGTATGTATTGGTACATTGTTTTCAATTCTGGTAAGCCTACTATGCCATATAAACTAGGTCAGCCAAGGTTCTGGTATGTGATATTAGAAATATACAGTAGTAATAATGATGGAGAATTAACAGTGGTTTACTAAATTTAAATACCCAGCCACGTGGAGTGGACGGTAGAGCGATGGTCTCCCTTCATGCAGGTCGGTGTTCAATCCCCGACTGTCCTGTGGTTGGGCACCTTTATTTTCCTAAGTCCTATCCTAAATTTTACCTCATATCCCTTCCAAGTGCTTGATAGTCGTAAAGTTAGCATTTTCTTCTGATAATTACCTTGCCTTTATTTTGGTTTACTAAATCACTGCTGATGAAATATACATTTAATATAATTTTTTTTGTGGTGTTCAGGACTTTCATCCATACTTCTGGTTGCTGTAAGGGCTTGTCAGAGTTCTTTGATGATGAGAAGAACTGGGGAGAGTCGGTAGTTAAGGTTGGCCGTGCTTGGAAATTAGAAGAACTGCGAATCAAGAGCAATGAAGATCTTCATAAGTTGTGGTATGTATGATATTAATGAACAAAGTTAATTCAGTCATTGTCCAGGCTGAAAGTTATGATGCTTATGTCATATCATATATATGATATGAGGAGCAAAACATCTTAATGGAGATGTTTTGTTCCTCATCAGGGGATTAGTCACAATAAAAGTGTTTCCATGAGGTATGGACACCACACCTTTCACTCAAGTTCTTTGATCTCCTCCCCCTTCCCCCACCCTTTCTTGCTGCTTGGTACGAAGTTTTCAAGAAGAAAGAAAGGTCAATTGTTGCTCACAGAAAAGAAAATTGAAATGTTAATGTTGATCATTTTGCAGCAGAACCTGACCAGACTATGGAAATGCTCAAAACTACTTATTGTAGATGTTGTGAATGCCCTGTGAGGGATAATGACGATATACTTCAACATGAAAATTGTGACGGATGGGATAACAATGATTGTAAGGATAAACAAGGCTACAGTATGAGCTCACTTATTCAAAGCCCGCTTATACGAATATTTGGATTATCCAGCTAAAATCACAGCCAGATATTTATCTGGCTGTGATATCTGGTTATTATTTATCCAAATAGCAATTCAGAAAACCAGAGGTTTTGCCAGATAGTGCAGACTGGCATAGATTCTAAATCAAGTTATGATAAGTTTCTGCCAAACCTCACCATATCCAAACAGAGATCTGGAAAACTGGAGAGTGTGCAGGACACACCACACAGCCATTGGGCCATACCATATTAATCCCATAGAGCCATGGTTCGATGCATGGGGTATGAGAGGTGCTGAGGTAGGTGGCCTCTATACTATATTTAGGGTAAATGTAGTCCAGAGCTAAGGAGACTAATACACACTAAAGTTGATTTTCTATCTACAGAGTATTGTGAATAAATGCATCAGGGGTACAGTCATATTGGAAACGATTGTATGAAAAAGAAGTAAAAATAAAAAATTCAACCCAACATGTGGCATTTGTTTGCTACAGCATTTAACAACCTTGTATCCTTCTGACTTTAAGAAATGTTACCATTGTTCTAAGAGTAGTACTGTATATCTGAAATGCATGATCACACTGTTGATGATAAAACATGTCAGTTATAAAAAAGAAGAGGAGAGAACAGCTACACTTACTGATCATGGCTATTGACAATGTAATTAAATGTGGCATGATAAATATTCAATCTTTGCAAAACCAAACAGTTTTACTGCATCCTATTCTTCAGTTATCTGTGAATTTGTTCCATTGACACTTTTTACCATCACCCCAGACCTGTGCGTAAAGAGGGCCGACCAGCCAGACAGCCAGCCAAAACCCACCTGCCCACCATCCATCCTGTTGCTCTCCCAAATATGACTTAAAAAGTTACCAACATTTTAAGCCCCCAGATATAACGATCTGGGTACAGCCCCATATAGGCTATATATTCATATGCTAGCTGTTCTTAACTCTTATACAGTACTAACATTCCTTCCTTTCATTACAGTATAGTACTGTACTACTTTATTCACCTTGCCTGTCACTCTTCCACTCATAATTTTTTCTTAATTCTCCTTCCACACTCCCATTTTTATCTGACACTGCTCCCAAGTAATTAAAACTTGTGCTTATTCCAGTACCTCTTCCTCCAATTTATACAGTTCAAATTTCTACATCTTGCCACTCTACCGATTTACAAAATCCCATTTCATTTTCAAGTAAAATTACGTTACTTTTTGCCTACATTAACGTTTAACTTTCTTCATTTGCACACAATCCATTGTTGATGTAAATACAGAGCCCTGAAGTGCACCACTAATGATATTCATAAATTGTGCCGATCCTTTTGGGAAAGAGGAAGCACCATCGAGCTCAAACTGGAATGAAATCCATTGATGAGGTTTCTCTCACATGGGTTTCCTCTCAAAACCTCTCAGGTTTTGCTTCTGTACCAATATTCAACCTAGGTCAAAGTTCCCATTATCCAACCAGCTGTTTTGTCATTACATGGGACATTAGTACTGTCCAGCATTTGGACAAGATTTTTAATTTGATTATCCTGCAGAATTAAAGTATTGATGGAGGAAGTAAAACATCAAAGATATACTATAGATAGATGTGATTAATGTATTTGATGACGGTGTTTATCTGCTCAATCAGGTATGTGCTCCTGAAGGAGAAAAACATGTTGCTAACAATGGAACATGCTGCACTTGAGGAGCACAAACTTTTTCCCAGTCCTGAAAGAATTGATAAGGTATGTATGATATAATTCTTATCCAGAAAGATTATTCATAAAAGAATAACTATTTAGATTGTTACAAAAGTTCTTTAATGTTAAAAAGAGAACAAGATGTATAAAAAAAATATTACCATGATTAGGTATGGGGCAAAAAAAAAACAAAAGGGATTTACCATAAACCAAAATAATTCCAAATGAATCACAGTAGCTTAATACATTGATGGGCTGTTACATTCTATATTCACGGGTCCTCGGGTAGGTCAGGTTCAAGCAATTTAGTACAGTATTGTAAAAAAAAATTGTGATGTGACACAGTACTTAAGAGGATGGGCTGCATGACTAGCCGTTGCTAACAGGTTCTTCTACTCTGACCAGACTGCCTTATACTGTATAATACTATAAAAAGTTGCATTCTCTATTTATAAACATAATTTGTTTTAATAGAATCTTAAATATTGTGTATGTATGCAGTGTGAAAACACTAATTTTTTTCCAAATCCGAATCTTGATTAACTGCTTCTGAGGATATATCTTTTGCTTAATGAGGCCTTTTTTTTTTTTTAATATAGTCCTGCCACCATTGTTTTATGAATTTATTATTTCAGGTCGAGGAAAGTATGAAAAATTTGGAGGATGTAGTGCGGGAGAGAGATCGTGCATATTGGCTGTTAGAAACTGGCGAGACAGGAGAAAGACCCAGTGCTGTGGTTCACGATGCTCTTGGTAAAGACTGTTTATTTAGTATTATCCAGATTATACAGTACCTACCGTGTCATAAATTGGGTTCAATAGCATTTATGTCTGAACTTATCTGGAACCCAACAAATAACTGATGGGATTATAGTCTTAAATAATAATCAGGATACAGTACTCAAATAACTACAGTATTCCTTGGTTAAATTCATGTAATTTAGGCTGTACAAGGTGGTAAAAGATAATGCATGTAGTTAACCCTTTGGCTGTGGTAAGTGGTAGTGAGGCTTTACTTTACAAAAATGTAAAGCATCAATTAAGTACAATTTTTGCACAGCTGGAGAGAGCATATTTTTTTTTTTGCCTTGTGTGGAGTTAAAGCTGAAACATAGGTGTCGCAGCCAGAGGGTTAACCCCTTCCTCCTCTTCCCCTTCTCTAACCCCTCCTCTCTACCCCTTCCTTCTCTTACCCCCTCCTCTTCCCCTTTCTTCTCATCCCCCCTTCCCTAATTGCCCCTCCTCTCTTCCCCTTCCTTCTCATCCCCCCTTCTCTTACTCCAAAGTATCCATTACGAGCGTAGAACCTTTGCCAGTCTTCATGCTTTTACAGGTATTTGTAAATTTTAAACAGGTCGTGTTGTTCGAAAGGAGTTTGATGAACATCCCATTCCTGAATGGATGCAACCCAAGACAAATGAAGTTGAAAGCAAAAAGGGTGATATATGGAGGTTTCAAAGGCTTTTGAAGGAGAAGGAATTTGTGGAGAGGAGAAAAACTTTGAGGTGAGTTGTTAAATATTACATTTTGGTTTAATGTTTTTGCTTAGTATTACATTTTTCAGCCTCAATATTGTGGTTTTATTATAAAACAAGATTTGTATTAAAGGTTCTGCCTAAAATGGTGTCTAATATAATTGAAAATATAATAGAAGATGATTTTTGGCATTTTCATGGGTGAGAGGAATCACTGACATGGAATCATTCCTACTTTGAGTTAAATCCCCAATTGCTTATAATTTGTAACATAATATATATTAACTAATAATCTATCAAAATCAAGGTTGGGATAAAAATGAGAAATGAAAGAAAACATTGAATGATTCTATGACAATGTCATAAGCCAGTGCACTGTATTAATTACATGTTGTAATGTAATGTGGGGGTTATGTGTAGGCTTGGGCTGAGTCCTGTTTTCAGGGCATGCTGTAACACTGGGTACCGAGGCCAAGAATCTCCCGCCTGTAATGATACTACTTAGTCACCTATCCCAATTGTGATCTAAGCATTTAAGGTTAGCTGAAGTAAACGTTTAAATGAAAACAGAAACAAATTAATACCTCATGAGGTGAAATTTAAATATAAACCTGATGAGCCAGAGAAATACAGGGATCTGTTTGCATCTCGTGAGTGGTAAACAAGTGGAATGAGTATGAACTAGAGGTGTTGGAAGCAACCAGCATTCACAGTCACAAGAGCAAGTATGACAGCACCGCAGTATCTGGAGATATAAATGCACCGGGTATAATAGCTGAGGCACTGTACAGCTGGATCTAACTCTAGAAATAGCTAAAAAATAAGAGCAAGTCCTTTTGTTGTGTTATCTAGATACCAAATGATAGACATGCAACACACTAACAAGCAAGCAAAAAGCACGCATACATTACTGATTAGGTTACTCACAAAATCTGCAACTATTCTACCTTCAGATCCTCAAATTCATACTTCATGCCTATTTCTACAAATATTTTTATGTAATTAATGTTATTTTTGAATGCTGTAGCATGTGTACACAAGCTTATATACTGTATATATAATAATTAATATATATAGCGTAGTAGTAGTCACAGGAGACTACGGAGTTGTACTCTGGTTGTCGGTCTGGAGTGGCCTCTCCAGGGTGCAGAGCCAGGGTTGATTGATACAGGGGAAAAGCTGTCACCCAAGCAGCAGGTCCCCCCCCCTTCTCCACAGCGATGAAATTCTCCAATGGAAAGGCAAACCCCAATACGATTGGTTCCAGCGCCGTTGCAGGAACTGTCAGAACGAGGTCAAAGTGAATGTGTGCATACAGTACACTGTATATGCATGCATATACTGTATGTACAGTGGAACCTTGTTTCAATGAACCTCTGTTTGGTAAATCTCTGGTTGAATACACACTTTCCATGCTGATTTATTTACCCGATTCGATGAACAAGAAGGGAACTATCAGGATAAAGTGTCAAGCCATTATGACTAACACTTGGAAGGGATCAGGATAAGGATTTTGGATGCGACTGGGGGAGGAATGGTGTCAAGCCACTTGGACAGTCAGGATTGAACGCCAGTCTGCATGAAGTGAGACCATTGCTCTAATGTCTAGCCCAGATATGTATCAAAAAGTGACAGTTTGATATACAGGCCTAAAATACAAGATATCAGAACTAGGGCTTTCATAGACATTTGATGAACAAGATCCAGAGGCTGTGTGGATTATCTTAGTCCCAAGATCTTGAGTTCACGGATTACACAAAATTGTCAAATTAGTGAACCCAATTTCTGAATGCTAGAAACACTCTTGCCATGTTTAATTTTTCTACCAGTTACTTAAAACAGAAATAGGTTTATGCTAAAAAGTAATAGAGCATTGTAGAAATGTTAATTCATGTAAACTGGCAGCACCTACCATAATGCATATACAAATTGTTTGGATATCTATAACTGAGAAAATGTCCAAACATTTTGAAACCAAATCATTGTTTTAACCCTACAAATAGCTTTGGAAAGGTGAAATTAGCATAAACATTTCATCTATCACTGATCAGGCAGCTGAAAAAAGGTTATTTACTTTGGATAAGAAAATAATATTTTTGCATTTCTGTGCAACAGTGCAATATGAGACTTTTATATACTGTATCAGTTTCTATTAGGGTTACATAAAAGGACCAGAACCGTTATAGTTTTCTTTGTACCAATTTTTGCTCTATTTTCTGCTTTTTATTTCATTTTGTTTTTTTTTTCTCCTTGCTGCAACTGATAGATAATTATGTACATGCCGGTCGGCCGAGCGGACAGCACGCTGGACTTGTGATCCTGTGGTCCTGGGTTCGATCCCAGGCGCCGGCGAGAAACATTGGGCAGAGTTTCTTTCACCCTATGCCCCTGTTACCTAGCAGTAAAATAGGTACCTGGGTGTTAGTCAGCTGTCACGGGCTGCTTCCTGGGGGTGGAGGCCTGGTCGAGGACCGGGCCGCGGGGACACTAAAGCCCCAAAATCATCTCAAGATAACCTCAAGAAGAAGATGCCTAAATAATATATAAAAAGTACATTTTCAATAATCTAGTAGGAAAGTAAAAAATAATTATTTCTTTTTACTTGCAGTACTGTATTGTAATTCTGTGTACACTACGAGCCTTTTTACAAAGTTGTAATTTCTTTAAATATTATGAAGTGTACATTTCATCATCAAATGTAATTAAATGTTCAAAATTAACTTACAAATTAAGATAATGTGGTTTTTCTTCTTTTTTTGCAGACTTATTCGCAACCACGTCTGTATGCTTTTGCGACGCTTCCCACATATGGATATGGACAAACTTCAGAAGCAATACCCAGAAGTGGATGTCCAAGCTCTGCGTAAACGAAAGTTTGCTCGGGGCCACCACGATCAAAATCAGGGTTGATATGTTTAGTTTTAAATTGTGATAATAGCTTCATCAAAAAGTTTCAGAGTAATAAATTACTTAAAACATATTTTCAGTTGTATATTATTATGATAATTGAATCATTGTATTATTTTGTTAAGATATGATGATCATTTCCTGATGAAAACAGTCATAGGCATGTACTTTAGGCATGAAAACAGAACCGTGCAGTACTATTCTCCCATCGAAGACCCATTTCTTTGACTACTTTTGCATTCTATCATGTGATGGTGACCAGAATATTTTTGAGTCTTCAATTCCACACTGAAACCACATTACAGTTTCTTGAAACTGTACAGTTAGTATTTACTTTTCTCCATTTATAATTTCTTTTGTTTCTGCTCTTGCATCTACCCATTTACATACATGGTAATGCTATATAAGTTTTCCTTTCAATTTTACTTTTCAGATTCAATTATAGCAAAAGTTGGCATGGTTAAAATTTCAATAGTACTAATGCAACAGCACTTAAGTTGGAAATTGTGATCGGTCAAATATGTTTTAAAGAGACTTGATATCGAGAATGACTTGTGACAATTTTTTTTTATCCTTGACATGAATTTGAGCAGAATTTAAAAAATGCATATTAAAAATATTGCATTGAAAACTTTAAACATAGGTTGTCTACATTTTAGTTGAAGTGGCCATTGCAAGGTACAGTATAGTGCATAAAGTAAATTATATCTTATCTTTTGTAAGATTAGCTTATTGACATTACTGTAAATATTTAACTTTTGAAATAAAAAGCTATTGCTATATATTTTGTCTTGTGTTGATACTTTTGGTGCCCTATTTATGTCCCCTTTGTTATGTCCATTCATTTACTTGTGCACCTCTATAGTGCCACCCTTTGCCTTTCCGGCAAATGTAATTTAAGCTTTGTTAAGAGTTGTTGATTTGTGGGAAAAATTACCGTGTAACGTGGTGAAGGTGGGGTCCCTCGATTGTTTCAAGCGTGGGTTGGACATATATATACGAGTTGGATTGGGTGGTTATAAATAGGAGCTGCCTTGTATGGGCTAATAGGCCTCCTGCAGTTACCTTTATTCTTATGTTGTTCTTATTGTTTGTGTACTATAACAGTAGCAAAATTGTTTCAAAGGAAAATATGAAGTTTATGGAAATATTGGTTAACTGATAATCTTATTGTGGGTGTACAGTTATCACTGAAGTTGAATAATCCCTTGCCTTTTGTCTAAGGAAGCAAACCGTTACACGGTTACCATTACACAGTAATTAATTCCACAAATCAACAACCCTGATAACAAAGCTTAAATTACATTTGCCCGAAGGGTGAAGAGTTAGGAGTGGCACTATAGAGGTGTACAAGTGAGGGGCCTGACAGCTGAGTGGACAGACCTTTCAGATTTGTAGTCCTGAGGTTCCGGGTTCGATCCCCGGTGGAGGCGGAAACAAATGGGCAGAGTTTCTTTGACCCTGATGCCCCTATTCACCTAGCAGTAAATAGGTATCTGAGAGTTAGACAGCTGCTATGGGTTGCTTCCTGGGGATGAGTAGCAAAAAAGGAGGCCTGGTCGAGGACCGAGCCCCGGGGACGCTAAGCCCCTAAATCACTGTAATAACTTCAAGATTGTCAGCTCAAAATTTGTTAATTTTTCTAATGCTCACATGTTAAAAAAAAATTCTCTTGGTGATACGTAAAATTTTATTGGTAGTACCACCAACAGCCTGTAAAAAAAAAGTTGTACAAATTTTTAACCAGAATATTGCAAATAATCATATTGTCTAATTGCCAATGGTGTGCCGATGCATAGCTGCAGAGACCAATGTTTGGTATATGTAAGAGCCACAAGGTGCAGGGTAACACCAGTATATACTTATGGCCTGTCTAGGTGGGTGCTCAAGGCAGAATTAAGAACAGCCAACAAGAAGTCCCCAGCATGTGGGTTGTGCACAGTGAGAAGGCATGTTTGATCCTTGCCAGAAGCTGCCTTCAGCATTGCTGAAACAATATACAGTTGTACCTCAGCTAACAAATTTAATCTGTTCCCAGAGACGGCTCTTAACCCGAAAATTCGTAAACTGAAACGATTTTCCCCATAAGAAATAATAGAAAATGAATTAATCCGTTCCAGGCTCCCCAAAAAATTAACTTCCAAGTAAATTTTATACCTAATTCACCCAAATTCTTCAGTACAAAAGTATGTACAAGTTATTACTTACCTTTACTGATGGCATATGGAAGACAGTGAGGAGGGGGGTGGGGGGAGGAGGAGAGATGTTACTGTTTGGAAGGCGAGTCCCCTTCCATTATAACATCAGGCAGTGATGACTTCTCTGGGGGTACACACACTGGCACGTTTTGTCTGCATACCACTAGGACCTGCTTGTGGCTCATTGCTTGCTTGTCTTACTAAGAAAATGCCTCAAGGCACTTGTTTTTCCCTACATTTTACCATTTGTCTGTAGTAAGACATCACATTGTCATTTAAAAGGTCAATACTACAGCTTTATCTGGGCGAGTTTTTCAACAAAACTTTGCAGTTCTTCCCATACTTCACACATTTTCTTAATGAGTAAGGGACATCATCTACTACCTCTACTCAACTATTTTCTTAGGTTGAACCTTACCACTGACTTTCTTGGGACCCATGGCAAGATATATATAATAATTTCTTTTATGTTCAAATACCCAAAAATAAAAAATAAAAAACTGAAATTCTTTACAAAGAATTGAGGCACGATTGTCACTAGGCAAGAGCCACTGGTAAACTGAGGCACGATTGCCGTGCTGCCACGTGCTAGGTCAAGCGTATCAACAAACTCGTTTCCCAAGGCAAAGTTCGTAACCCAATTCAAATTTTCTTTAGAAATTGGGCTCGTAGCCCGAAAAGTTCGTAAAGAGTGGCATTCGTAAGCAGAGATGTCACTATATATATACAGTATAATGTATATTTAGTGAATGGGGGTTGGTTAGTACAAGTTGGAGCTGCATTGTATGGCTAACAGATATTCTACAGTTTCCTCTGTTTTATGTTAAAAACATGGGCAAGTGTCAGGTGCCACACTTCAAATTCAGAACAAGAAAACCCATACATATGCCTCGGGGATGATTATGAAACATTCTTATTTTCTTTTAAAATCTTCTACATTTTTTAATTCTCTGAAAATAATTTGTATTTCATATATGGAAAACTGTATGGTAAGTTCACAGAAATTGGCAAGTTTTATTTCAAAACAACTTGGACTTTTTGTCCAAGAGAGTGCATGGACATCACTTGCAAAGGCCACTGTAAGTAAGAGATACTCCACCAGGACACTGTGAAGCTGCTGGGCCCACTTTGTACATTGAATGTCCCCAAAAATTTCCAGCAGGGCCATAGTTGCATACGTATGTCTTGCAGGAGTTGTAACTGAGTATGCCAAAGCTACAAGGACCATTATATACAGCACCACAACCGACTTCCTGTGTTTCTGCCCATATGAGCTGTAGAATGGAAGATACTGTAGTAGTGAAGTGGTTGCATAGTAAACATGTGGCAGGGGAATGGATGAAATTTAAAGTAGAAAGTAAGAAAGTGCAGGTATTGTATGGGATATGGCAAGTTGAAGTGATTACCTGTCAGAGACTACATGGGAGCAAGAGCTAGCTTTTGATACCCCCCACCTACTTGCCATTTATACTTGCTGCACTAATTATCTATGAACATCATTGTTTTCATCATAATTTTTCTTAGTTTTGAATGAATTTGGCTTCAACAACCTCTTAAATTCATTCCACTTACTGACCACCTTTCCAGGGAATGAGAACTTCCTTACATCTCTTCAAATCAATTGCATATCCAGCTTCCACTTATATCCTCTCTTGCCCTACTTCATTAATTTAAATAAATAAGGGGGGTTGTGTGTATATAATGAGAAACAATGTCAGAAAAAAATCAGATTACTGTTATTACAGTGTAACTGAAGAGATCTAGAGAATGTTTGGAGGTTGTGCATGTATTATGGAGGAGGATACTGTGTGCAGAATTGAGGATGAAAAAGTGGATGTCTCGAATATTACTTGTGATTTGTAATGTATAGCAACATTTGTTGGAAAACCAGCATACTGTATTTGGGATGTTTTCATAAATTTTCTCGATCAGCTTGATAACAAGAGTGGGGTAGTCATTTAATATCACAGAATAGGGTTTGTAACATGTAAATTAATAATTTACAAATATGTGATCTTAATTTATTTAATAATTTCGAAATTGTATTATAATTCAAACTTGAAATTTGTAACCTAATGCTGCTCTTATGTTTTTGTAATTACTTGAGTGTAGTTACCTGATCAACCAGGCTGTGACTCATACGTCAGGTTGCGAGCAGCCGCGTCCAACAGCCTGGTTGACCAGTCCGGTAATGAGGAGGCCTGATCAAGGCCGGGGACGCTAAGCCTCATCATCATCAGAATCATCTCGAGGTAACCTCAAGGGAGTTACAGGATGAGAGCTACGCTTGTGGTGTCCCATTTACTCAGTCCTCTTTGTTATGATGCTTTGAAACTACTGACAGTTCTGGCATTCACAACCTTCTCACTTGTTCCAACAATCTACCACCGATTGCAAAAGATAAGTTTCTAATTGTTTTTGCACCTTTGTTTCCATAGCTTGAATCTGTGACCTCTTGTTCTTGAAGGTGCAGGTTTCAAGAAATCTTTTTTCAATTCCTGTTACTATTTTGTATGTAATGATCATATCATTATTTGTGTTTGTAACACACTAACCAGTTATCTTTTAATGGTCAGATGCAACAGGAGAACTGATCATGTAAGTGATTTTATGCAATAGAAACTGTCTGGATAAGCAAGAAATTCCTGGTAGACCATAATTGGAGTGATAATGAACATAAGATAATCAAAATAATGTATTTTTTAAAAGTTAGTTTTTAATTTCAATGGCAAAATATGCCAACCTGTCATCCAAAAATGATAGTTGTGTAGCAACTATTGGAGAAACATACAAAAGTAAACTGTTGTACAAAAAAAAAAAAATCATAGCGGATATGAAAAGGAAGGTAACCAAACAAACTTTCCTAAGCCTAGTTTACTACATGTTCTAAATTAGGCCCAATCTGGCATATATTAGCCCTAGTTTTGATTACTTAAACCTAGGACAGGATAAGTTATGTTGTATAGGTACTTTTCCAGTTTTTAGCATGCCATTTGGAGCATTTCAAAGGTAGAGAACGTGAACCTATTTGGACAACAGTTTCTTTTTAATATGTTTAATAACATTTTTGTATGTTTAATAATTATTATAACTATTACCATTTTGGAGGAGGGGCTGAATATGCACAATAGTAGTTTAAATTATTTTCACTAATAAAAACCCAGTTTTAAAACCCACTAGCTAAAATAAAAAGTAGAAATGATCACATGAACTAGAAGGGGCTTGAGAAACTATTATACTGTTCCGAGTGGGAATCCACTACACTTAAAGTACACATTATGAGTATCGAACCACTTGCCTGCGTATAGTGACCAATGGGTCTGGGTAGATCCAGGGATTGGTATTTGTTCACCAGGGAATTTGGTACATCAACCACTTCATTGTAAAATGCCGAAATGGCAAAATTCCACTCCTGTTGAATGAGGCATACAGGAATGTATATTTAATAGTTTATTAATGATTTTTCAATTTATATACTGTAAGCTATTATTTTTTACAAATTACAATTTTAATTCAAAGTGTCTGACAAGGGACTGGGTAATCTTATTATAAAATTGATCCTATGTAATATAAGGCTATTGTTATAACAAGCCATCCTCTGGTCAGCATATACAGATACATGCAGTGTACAATAAGTACAAACAATTTCTTTGTAAACTATTTTGTTATCTGCTTTAAAAAATCACTTTGGGTACAGTAGGAGGTTGAAAAAAAGCTACAAAAAACACTCCTCCACAGTCACTGCTAGATAAGCACTGTAAAACCAACAGTGTACTCCAGTAAACTTCGTAGTGGTCATACTAGCCTCAACATGAGTGACATTCTGTGGTTACTTCAGCTAAACCATATACACAAATCTTTAAACAATTTTGTGTAATCTTAGAACATATTCATACCTGCATCAGTGTTAACATGATGCCACACATACCTCACTGTCATTGAAGCCCCATGACCAATAGAGGTTCTGGCCGATGTAGTAGTCTCGGGTCAGCAACTGTCGGCACTCACGGCAGTCGTGATCACTTGGGCAAGTGTTACTCCAAGCCTGAGGTACACAGGGCAAGGCACAGTGTCACAATGTTGATATTATTTCCATCTAAACAGAACAGGAGTCCCATTAGGTATATATAGTGTTCACTGCTTGTATACTTTAAAAAATAATGTGAAACAGTAAGGTTAGAACCACATTTCAAATAGAGAATTTTAGAACTTATATGAATATGAAAAAATATAGAATTCAAATTATCTATAAAAGTGAACCAGTTAATTGTAGATGCACTTTTGTGTTTTAAACAAGACTAACCTGTAGAATAAGACAAAATAATAATCAGCCATGAAACTCATCATTAATAACCTAAATGTTCAACATTATCAATAAAGTTCCACTATACCAACATAAATAATTAGCAGGGATGCCTACCATTGGAAGCAATCACAATAGATGTACCACCAGAACCACTGGCATGAACCACACAACAGAAGTACTACAAGACACCTGAAAGGGACCATTGGGATGATCAATACTCGCCTGTGCCACCTGTGCCAACTCATCGCTCCATATCAACTCCTTCATGTTTGCTGCAGGAGGCTGAGGACCAGGGTTCCCTCGCTCTTCCTTCCCCCATGCCACCTGCAGGTCATAGGAGATGAAATACCTTGAATACTAGGCAAATTAAGTCATAAAACTATAACAATTGTGACAGAAAATCAAATTGCAGTGTCAAATTCAGCCTAAATTGTGTGAAATAGAAGACACTCCAGGGTGAAGAGATTATATTAAATTGGTGAAGAGATTATAAATATTGTTAGTGAAAAATATTTATATTATTTCAACTAAAAGGAAATTTTTTTTTCTTCTAAGAACTGCAAAGTCTCATTGTTACCTTGGCTCTGTAGTGGTTGTGTGCTTGTAAAATCTTGGTTTTCTCTGCTTCAGTGACCCCTTTATGCTTGATTCCGCACGTGGTGTTCTTTTGCTTGCACATGGAGTGTTCTGGGGTGATTTTGGCGTATTTACACGCTCCGTTTACATGACCGGGGTCTGAAAAGAATTCACCATGTTTATTGTGAAGTTGATGGACTAGTGACCTCGATATATGGTTTCTGATTATTGAGGACAGGAAGGCTTATTACAGAGGTCTGCCTAGCCAAGGTCAAGGCTGTGTGGGGGTCATCTAACCAGTTACTGTTCAGAGCCATTGGTGTTTAACCAATTTAGGTACATAATCCTCACCATTCCAAATTTTAGTTTTGATATACTGTACCTGCATTATAATTATGGACATTTTTCCAGAAGACCACATGTATTACTGCAATTGTAAAAAGTCATAAACTGAAACAACCTAACCTGTCATGGAATTAAGCCATTCTAGACCTAACATATACAACCTTAGGCCTAACTTAAAACATATATGAATACAATTAGGCCTAGAAAGTTTGGATTGGCAACCTAGAAATTAAGAGCTGATCTAAATAAGACCTTTGAAATAATGAACAAGTTTGCCTGAATTTACCAGTCCTGAGGGCCAGGGCTGGCCTTAATTCAACCTTAAGGTTCAATTAATATGAATAGAACGTTAATTCAACGTCATTCCACTCATAATAACTATAGATACTATTATTTCCAGAGGACTGATTTAGCCTTGACTGACCTGCTTTATCGCTACAAACACAGTTACTTATGAACTGTAGGGCCACCTCGCTCCCCACGGAGGTCTTCCTGCAGACCAGATATAAGCAACGCTCTGATAATTTCACCACCAGAGTACCAGCACCATATTTCTGTTTATTATACACACATTTCTTCTTCCTACTCCTCGCCCTCTTTCTATTCAACCTTCTCCTTTTTTTCCAGTTAAGTTTGTATTGCCTGTGATGATATACAAAGTTCAGTTTGTGGCGACTTAATAAGGTGTGTCTAAAAGCACAACGAGAGGCAGTTGGTAATTGGAGGTTCCTCGAGTCCTTAGAGGCCCTGGAGGTGATGGCGCAGGTGCAGGGGGAGAGGGGAAGAGGCAAGAGTGCCAGCTCCACCTGCCTCGTCGACCTGCCCTTCTTCTGCCTCGCCTGGCACATGATCACTGCACATGCCTCTACTGCAGCCACTACTGTCTGAAACAACAAGCCTCAACATAATTTTTGTTTTTCTTTTATCTGACTTATATTGAATTTTGTAACTAGATCATCAAGATTGTAACTTGATTAGCTAAATGAATTGTGGGGTTCAGTCCCTGAGCCCATTATGTGCCTCTGTAACCCTTTCCACTACCGCCCACGGGATGGGTATGGGGTGCATAATAAATGAACTAAACTAAAACTTTTACTTGACTGAACCTTGATTCAAGTAAGTAATTATCAAAAGAGGGCACCAAACCGGGGAGGATATGTAAAACTTGACTCAAGAATTCTTGAATTCTTATAAGAATGGAAGGTACAATTACCTAAAAGAATTATAATTAAAACCCCGTAGAATTATAAAAACAATTGACTGCGTGTAATGTAAATTCCAGTAAGATAAAAATCTTGTAAATACAGGTAAGTAGATTCGTGTTACTTACCTGGCCAGCGCTGTACTTCCTGCCATTGAATGAACACTTCTTGGCTGCCAGTACCATGCCTGGCCCCAGATCCCCTGAAGTACAAGGAAGTAGGTTTTAACACGACAGTACAAGAATTGTGAAAATCCTAATCCAGAAAGGGTGATCAAGTTTACGTGGATCCCCTCCCACGTTGGAATCTCTGGAAATAAACGAGCAGATGTGCTGGTGAAGGACACTGAAGATACCATACTGAATACTTTATACCCAAGACTCATCTACAAGTTAATGGTATATTCTGGCGACATGACCATGACAATGTTTATTTATTTATATACAAGAAGGTACATTGGGTTTGTGAGAATACATAGCATAGTATTTACAATCTTGTAAAGCCACTAGTACGCGCAGCGTTTCGGGCAGGTCCTTAATCTAACAGATAATTTTAAGTAGCTAAATTCTAGCAGAATTAATAAAATGATAACAGATACATTGCAAGAAAACAATGAGATGAGAGAGATTAGTAAGTATATTAAAGCACATTGGTATATTAAAGCTCTGATTGATTACATTGACAGCTTGATTGGTAATTTAAACAAGATTAATAGACACCATACAGCAGATGTAACTGAGGAAAGGAGGATAGAGGAACAAACCAGCGAATCTGTACTCTGGTACACTGTGGTTGCAGCTGGCAACCCCCAATCATTATGGACGAAGGGAGGTGGCCGCGGGAAAGAATCATTACTAGCGAGAATTCGTCTTGGATACAAATACCCATGGATATTCGGGATGGAAACAACAGCTGAGCAGGGGAATTGCAGAATCTGTGGTGAGTGATGGACACCACCTTGACCATTACCTGAGAGATTGTGCACACCTAAGAGACATTAGATAATAATTCCCAGATTATATTAGGAGTAAAATAATATTACGAGTACAATTATCCCCAGATTGAGTTAGGAAAACACTATTTGTCAAATGTAGATAATGTTCTTAAAATATTGCACCCACGAGATAATGTAAGCTTAGGGATTGGCAAATGTTTTCGTTGTATTTCAACAGATGTTTGTGATTTTGCTTTCGTGAGAGCGAGAGAGAGAGAGAAACAGCACTAACAAGCAGGACATGATGACTGACCAGGCAGCACCAGGAGGAAGAAGAGGCAGGAAGCCAGCAGCGACACCACCATGTTCACCCACACCACTGAACACCTCCCTCATCCCCAACACACAATGACTTCCTCACACACCTGTCCTGCTGCACCTGTCTCATCCCTGTTACACCTGCACGCTGCCTTTCACCCTGCACCCTATACCCCCCTCTCACTCTCACCCTACACGCTGTCTTACACTCTCATCCTCCTCCATCTCACTGCCGCGTGCTTCGCCATGGAGTCTGAGTTAGACATGATCTAAGGTTCGAGGGGCTGGTTAACATCTACCAGAAAGGGTCCCCTAAGCTTCCACGATAGCCACCTCTCGGTAGCCACGATAGCCCTCTTCGCTAGCCACCTGTGTTGCAAGTGTTGCAGAGATAACCCTCACATGTTGTCTGCCACATGTGTGGGGGTGAGATGAGTAATGGTGCAATATGAAACACAATACATTATGATGCTGTAACAGTCACGGTGATGTATGCTGTATCAGTCACGGTGATGTATGCTGTATCAGTCACGGTGATGTATGCTGTATCAGTCACGGTGATGTATGCTGTATCAGTCACGGTGATGTATGCTGTATCAGTCAACAGGTCAGCCATACACTCCACAAGACATACATGTGCACCAGCGCATTCATTTTCCTGTCAAAGTGGAGTGAATGCAAGTTATGCACTGTTGTACCTGCGGGTGAATGCCACCCGAGGGCGCCGGGCTCCAGGCTGAAGGTCGGGTTCCCCAGGACCGGAAATTCCCTGGCCGTGAACTCAGCCTGGGTCCTCTGGACTCCTGCTCATTCCTTGAGGAAACAACACATGATTGCTCTTTGTTGCATGTACTGCCCTCCTCCTCCTTCCTCTTACACACACACACACACACACACACACACACACACACACACACACTCTCTCTCTCTCTCTCAATAAAATCTCACACGGACCAGGATTCGACGTGTGAACTGGGCGATACCAGATCTCGCCCAGTGCTGGAACTGGGCGAGATCTTCCAGACAGTTCCAACACTGGGCGAGGTATCCTCCAGTAGATGGTTAACATAGATGTATCGTAATGGTTATTATCATTCTGGTAAGGGAAGGGGGTACTACCCTGATCCAAGCAAGGGGAAGGTGGGTACTACCCTGATCCAAGCAAGGGGAAGGGGGTACTACCCTGATCCAAGCAAGGGGAGGAAGGGAAACGACAATGATTCAGCCAGGGATGAGGAGGGAAGGGGGCCACCTCCCTGAACAGGGTAAGGGGGGGTGACCCACACAGTCAGGGAGGACAAAAGACGGAGCGTGGGTGTCTTAAGGGTCACACACCAGACAGACGTTGCCCCGGGGTGTGTCTCACTCACCTCATTCTTCCTCCTCTCACCTTTCCTCCTCTCTCTCACCTCTCACTCGCATCTCCCACCTTATCCTTCCCTCCACTCACAGTCCTCCCTATACCCCCTCTTAAACACCCCTTCCTACCCCCCTCCCTTGTACTACGGGCTCACCATAGCCCGTGCTACATGGACACTTCGTTCTGAGTAGCTAAATCTGAAACAACAACCCCCTCCCTCACCCCTGGTCAGCCGCTGGTCATCGTTATCAGAGTGAAAACTGTGTGTGTGTATTTACTATTTGTGTCTGCAGAATCGAGCTATTAGCTCTTGGACCCCGTCTTTCTAACCAATTTATGTTTCCTCTATTATGTCTACTACATATATCTCTCTCTAACACACACACACACAACCCCTGGAAGCAGTCCGTAGCAGCTAACTCCCAGTTACCTATTTACTGCTAGGTGAACAGGGGCATCAGGACGAAAAAAACTCTGGCCATTTGTTTCCACCTCGACCGGGAAACAAACACACACACACACACACACACACACACACAAAGATGCGAATGCGTGTACTCCCCTATTTGTACTCACCTATTTGTGCTTGCGGGGGTTGAGCTTTGGCTCTTTGGACCCGCCTCCCTGTGTGTGTGTGTGTGTGTGTGTGTGTGTGTGTGTGTGTGTGTGTGTGTGTGTGTGTGTGTGTGTGTGTGTGTGTGTGTGTGTGTGTGTGTGTTTAACTGTTGTTTGTTTGTGGTGATAAAGTTCCTCCTCATAGGCAAGCCTCAAGTTTCACTTGATTGGCGTAGCTAAGTTCTTTCGTACCTTCCTTGGATTTACATATATATGGGGTCAGTCTCCAGTGTACCTGTAGCTAGTTCCACTTTCAACTTGTAGGAGTTGCCGTGTTCCTGGTTCCTCCCAGATGTTTCTGGTATTTTGTATGCAGTGATCATATCCTCCACTTGCACACAGTCTTTCCTCGTAGCTCTAGCCACTCGGGTTCCATGACAGCACCAAAACTTGGGACCTTCTATCTTCTATCGCTGGGTGCTCGAGGGTTGATCTTACACGTCAAGAGTAGAGCACTCTATAAGATTTTATTCTCACTTATACGAGCTAGATGTAATGTTTACCGTTGTTGCGTACACCGCTGATGTTAAGGCGCTTGTACTAGTTGTGCTTGCGACGGTTGAGCTTCGGCTCTTCGGTCCCACCTCTCAACCGTCAATCAACAGCTTCTTACCGTAGACAGCCTTGAGATGTCTTCACGCGGGTTCTCCCCGTTTTTGTCTGAAGCCAATTTCACAGACCAAAAGGCTCTAGTTAAAATTGATTTTAAAAATGCCTTCATCTAAGTCAGAACTGATAGACGCAATCCGAGCCGTCCGTCAAAGAGACACGGAGGGACATCGACTCGCACTAATGTGACCAACAGCTGGGTGGCCCGTAATCCACATCTTTTGATGTTGACCAGACCACACACTAGAAGGTGAAGGGACCTATCTTGAGATCTTGAGGTTATCTTGAGATGATTTCGGGGCTTTTTTTTAGTGTCCCCGCGGCCCGGTCCTCGACCAGGCCTACACCCCCAGGAAGCAGCCCGTGACAGCTGACTAACACCCAGGTACCTATTTTACTGCTAGGTAACAGGGGCATAGGGTGAAAGAAACTCTGCCCATTGTTTCTCGCCGGCGCCTGGGATCGAACCCAGGACCACAGGATCACAAGTCCAGCGTGCTGTCCGCTCGGCCGACCGGCTCTCCAAGGGACGACGACGTTTCGGTCCGTCCTGGACCATTCTCAAGTCGATTGTGAGATCCACATTCTCAAGTCGACAATCGACTTGAGAATGGTCCAGGACGGACCGAAACGTCGTCGTCCCTTCACCTTCTAGTATGTGGTCTGGTCAACATACTTTAGCCATGTTATTGGGACTCATCGCCTGCACATCTTTTGATTTTTTGCTTAACTTTTTTTATGCTAATAGCTGGTTCCCAGATGCCAGCACTGTCGCCGGCACATTTTCCTCCTGGAAGACATTAGCAAAATCCAGGAGAGAGACAGAGAAAGGAGTCAATTTAGGCCTCGTCCATAACTCATCCACGTATGACACTTGTCTCGCCAGCTCACACATTACTGGTCAGCTAAAAATTGTTTTGCCAGACATTCATATAATTGTTCTGTCTATTGCACACTCCTGGGTGCCCCCCTCCCCCCTGGATTGCATGCAATCGAGGAGATCTTAGAAGTTGCATGAAAATACTGATAAAATCGATGCCTTTTTTTTGAGATATATACAAGAGTTGTTACATTCTTGTACAGCCACTAGTACGCGTAGCGTATTCCAGGTCCCTGGAATACGATCCCCGCCGCGAAGAATCGTTTTTTCATCCAAGTACACATTTTACTGTTGCGTTAAACAGAGGCTACAGTTAAGGATTTGCGCCCAGTAAATCCTCCCCGACCAGGATACGAACCCATGACATAGTGCTCGCGGAACGCCAGGCGAGTGTCTTACCACTACACCACGGAGACGAGAGACTTTCTTCTCACAAGTTTCCTATTCCTTCCTAAGCCAATTTACTTCGAGATGTTTTCAATGTCA